GCATTTTATGGAGGACTGTTTCCTGATCCTGGTAGAGTAGAATACAACGCCGGTGTACCGACGAAACATGCTACCTATAAGATTGTGCTACCAAAAATATATTTACATTGTTTTAAGGGTAAGTTTAGGGTAAGGGTAGGTGTGGACAGATGGGGTGCTGGGGGTTTAGGGTAGGGGTGCTACCTATCTTTTTAATGGGAGGTAGCACAATCTGAGTGGGTAGCACAAATCGTCAGAACACCGGCTGTTCTGACTCCCAGACTGTAAGTACGTTTTTTATATTTAAAGAATTTGCCACTGACGATTCAATCGCGAGTTTTGAGCAGTGTAGAGTAGCACTTGTTGTTTGTCATTTCTCCAATCACAAATGCAGACATGGTTTTATGTTTGCGCGATGCAATGCAACGCGTAAAAAGACAGTATAAGTCATTATAATCCGTAATTATGTCCCCACTGGATGCAACAAATGCCTCGTTTATAATGGGTTTTAATGTTTTTGTCTCATCGCTGCAGCCTGACAGGGCATCACTATTTGGTAAGGGGCGTAACATTTCAGTCACACGCTTGAGGTATTCGGCCAATCACAACGCACTGGATAGATGGCCAATCAGAGCACACCTCGCTTTTTCAGACCGATGAGCTTTGCAAAAATCAACCAGAAAGGCGGGGCATAGAGGAGAAAAAATAATGCACAGTATGTGGAAAATAATGTGTTTTTTTAACCTAAAACCGCATAAACACATTTCATTACACCAAATACACAAAATAATGTTCTTTTTAGCAACATCATATGACGCCTTTAAAGATTTCTACTTGTCTTTTTATTTCACCTGAGGTTACTGATTTATTTTTTGAGGTACACTATTGAAGCACAGCTCTACTTCAGAATGCTAGATTTGTTTGGTGACATTAGTCCTATTTTTGATCTAGTCACAGTAGTCAATATTGTCGTCAGTTGGTGCTTTGTGTAAAATTAAAGCATAGTAGCAGTGATCAACTGATTTCTAATCTAAAGTTTACTGTGTAAATCTGATTCACAGCAGAGAAATCTGAGATAAGCATCACGTGTTAGCCTTTGAACTTCGACTACAGTATGCATGAATTACAACTGTAGAGCAAAGACTGTCAGAGCAGGCCTCAAAAGGTGACCTTGTTCGGTGAGCCTTAACAATTGAAATGTTAATTGCTAAACTGGATTACAACTTCTCAAGAACAGAGATTCCC